TAACTCATTTTATAATAACTTCAAAATGTGATTTGAGCCTGGCATTCCTTTTGCTCTGGATGAGTTGCTTTGCACTGACCCTTTTTGTAACCACTGACCTGATTACTTTAATTAAATGACAACTACATGAAGGCTTTTTATCTGGGATTATCAATGTCCTGCTTCAGAAGTTCTTGTTCTTTCTAGACTTATTGATTATAATCAATTAGCTTATCCTAATTAAAAGAAAAAAAAGCAACTTTTAAAAGATTCATTAGACTCTTGACGTCTGACGGTAAACAGGATTCAATAAGCTAAAGATTTGTTACGTCAGTGAGCTTGGGTCTCAGACAAATAGAAAAGCATGACACTGACTTGTCTAATTTCTAAAGAGCCTGCATTTATGCTCCATTTTTTTAAGCAATCTGAGGTTCACCCGAATTCTACAGAGCTACTTTGAGGGGACAGGGAAAATTCATACCAGATTGCACACTGGGAAAAGAACTGATGGAGATTAATACTTTCTGTGCAAATGTCAACATGAACATATGGCAACCTGTTATGCTTTTTCCATTACTGGAGATGAAGCAAACAAAGATGTCATTTTGCTCATTCCTAGTGTGAACTGGCTTCACAGCTATACAGGTATCACTATATAAAATATATATGCATAATGTGTCCGTTGACTTTTTTTTTTTTTTTAAACAGCTCTTTTTGGGGGGGGGATTATTGTAGAATTACTACAATTCAAAATAATTGTTTTCTGTTTTAGTATATTTTAAAATATAATTTATTCCAGTGATGGCAAAGTTGGATTTTCAGCATCAATACTCAAAATCTTCAGTGTCACATGATCCTTCAGAACAGTCTCCTTGCTGAATATAAGTATAAAGTAATTTCTTATTAAAAACCCTTACTGACCCCAAACGTTTGAATATATATATATATAAAAAAAAATGTAGTTAAGGTGCAGTATGTTTTTCAGCATTTCTAATCACTGTTTTGTATTGAAACCTTTTTCTGCCTCAGAAAAAATAGATAAAACTGGTAATTGTGAGAAAGTTGAAAAATTTGAATTAAAGTCATGCCAAGTCAAACTTTGAGATATAAAGATGCAATCACAAGAAATAAAGTTGCATTGTAAAGTATAAAATCACAACTGTGATAAAGTGAAATTGTGAAATATATAGTCACAAGATAAATAATGCAAATGGGAGATATAAAGACACCTTTATGTGAAATACAATTGCAAAAAATAAAGTCACAATTGTGAGAAATAAAGTCACGATTACCTTTAAGGCAGATTACACGATTAAGGCAGAAAAGGGCTTCTTTAGTTTTGCCTTTCCTAGATTATTTTAAATGGTCCTTCAATGTGACATCAATGTTCATGACGTACAAAACATTCCATGTCTTAATATTAGATCATAAAGCTACATGCATAATGCAAAATTTTTTTGCAAAATGCCATTTAGCATGTCACACTGCAGAACATTTCAACTAGCCATGGAACTTCCTTCATACAGTATGCCAGTTACTGTGAAATATTTGCATCTCTTCTTGATACCACACAGAGTCATCAAGTCAAATGAAAAAGTTCACTAATAGTTGACATCCTCCAATATATTAACAATTTTATTTTTTCAATCATACTTTCTGAGGCTACAGGGAGTGTATATAAAACATCAGTGCAGTTGATGGCTCAGCAGAATGACTTGACTTGAGTGGAGAGCACAGCTGATGTACCAAACGTTTCGTGGGAATTCTGTATTTTGCTGACAGGAAAATGAAAGAAGATATGTACAAAGGCTGTGGCTTCAGTCTTACTCGGTTTTGATGAGAAAGCTGACCACTGTGAGGAGGAACAGGAGGAAGACTAACACAAATAAGGCACCACAAGTTTCTCAGCGCAATCAATGCCAGGGCTGAAGCAGAGATTATATGAGATGCAACACTTCAGCCAGCACCACTACAACTGTTCCCCGCTGGCATTTAAACACAAAATCTTAAAGAACTTTGAAACCTCAAATTTGACCAAAAAAAATAACTCTTACTAACATGACCAGCTAACTAAAACCTGAACCTTTAGCAAGGAACAGGTGCTGTTAATACATCTGATTGCGCTTAAAGGAACAGTTTGCCCAAAAATGAAAATTCTGCCATCTTTTACTCACCCTCATGTCATTCCAAAACCCTTATTATTTTCCATGAAATACAAAAGATGTCAGGCAGAATGTCCAAGCTGCTCTTTTCCATGCAAGCTAAGTGAATTGTGACTTATACCTCAGAACTCCATAAAACACCATAAAAGTGCTCTATAAAACTTGTATACAACAGTCTTCTGAAAAACCAGCCTAACCTAGTTCGGTGGTCTTAGCTGGTCTTACAGTCAGACAAACTAAGATCACTAAACCAACTGGTTTTAGGTGATTTTTTGTTTTCAGAAGGTCTGAAAAAAAGACTGAAATCGAAGCTGATTTAGATCTAGGCATCTAAATGTGCCACTACTGAACTCAAAGCCAAATATCAGTTATTAGCTTACATTTCAGTCTGTTATTCAGACTGAAATTTCAAAACATTGCATGACTTTAGAAGACTTGTAATGTAGCTCACAAGTTATATGGACTACATAGAACAACATGGGGGTGAGTCAACTAAAATTTTAATTTTGGGGTAATTTACCCCTGTAAAAATCAATGTTATCAATGTCAATCGAGGTAGAATCAAAGTGGAACGTAGCAGTCCGAAGTCATGAAATTACTAACCCTAACTTTGACCGATCAGAACTTTTGACAGAGCTTACTGTATCTCCAATAATACTGTCTAATCGGGTTGCATTTACACATATTACTGTGCATATATAGAGAAGATTGTAAAGCTAGCTCTTTTCTAGGTTTAAACTGTTAAAGTGCTCAACATAAGCATTAAAAGGATAGTTCACCCAAAAATGAAAAGTCAGTTACATTTATTCACCCTTATGTCATTGTAAACCTGTATATCCTACTGTGTGGACCCCATTGACTTTCATTGTAAGAACAAAAAAACATATTTAAAAAATATCTTTGTGTTCCACAGAAGAAAGTAATTACTATAGATTTTAAATGGCATGAGGATGATGACAGAATTTTGGGGGGGGTTGAATATCCCTTTAAAATCTCCCTGAAACTAAAGCCAATGTAATTGTTCACTGAACATCAAGCAGAAACAGAAGAGCAGGCCTCAACCCGAACACTTCCATCTGGCCTAGATTTTGTGTATAGCGCCTGCAAGCTTCATCTACCAGTGCGAGAACGAGAAAAAGACAGCATAATACGAAAGCCAAGCCAACGGTTTCTCTCTCATCAGGACTCCAGCTGCGTCTGGCTAAGCAATAACAACGTGCATCTCACCAGTTATCAACGCAGCTAGCTGCCTGTCCTTTTGAACCCCACCTTCTTGAATGAGCTCCCCTAATCCTGCATTTCATTTGATACCATATAAATCATGATAAGTCGGTACGATTTTAAAAGAATCAGAAAACTTTGACCGTACCGTGGTCAACACCACAGTACGGTTAGATTAAGTTGTTCACCTCAAACACAATCCCACGTTAAGAACTGTCACACTGTACTCAGCCCTCGTTACATACGACACTCGTTAAGGCAACATCAACAAACAATATCTGTGTGCAGATTGAAGAAATCATTCACTGTGTGGTTCTACAAAAATCTTACCACCGAGGGATGCAAAATATGAACATCAGAGTGCAAACCCGCAAGTCCACAAAGCGTGTTACAAACACTCAAACTGAAGATATGTTTCAGGAATCATACAAAGGAGAGTGTATGTCTTCATCAGTGAGAGAGGGAACACCGGAGCAGAGGTTTACTGCAGCAGGATGCTGTACAATGCCTGGACTCGGGTCTTAAAAGGTCAGAGGTTATGGGTTTTCTGGAGGGGAGACTGGGGAAGAGCTATGAGCCGCCATTTTCCACAGTGGTTGGTAATACGCCCAGCCTTCACCCTAGAAAAAGACAAAAAAATTAGAGAACTTAAAAAATATAATACCAAAGATTATCCAATTAAGTGGGCCAAACCAGAAGTTAGCATTACCATAATCCCCTCCATAAAAAGGCAATCGGATTTTTACATATGCTTTTGAATTACTGCAGAAGATAAGTGAGAAGATCTGTGACCAACAAGAGTTTTGATTCTCATACGTTGTGTTTGGCAAGATAGTCTCTACAAATGAATACTACCGTTTTGAAGCCTAAATATAATTGGCAGAAGTAAAAAGCTAAAAGGTAGGCTTTAAACAAACTACACCACGGTCAGATGACTTCAACTTCACCATGACTAAGCTTCTGACAACTCATTCAATCTTTATTTAAAATCTACTAGTTGGAAAAGTTGAGTTAGAATAGTTTGCAAGAGCGTGATAAACACAACACAGACTACAGAGAGTAGATGAGTTCTCCTGATAAGAGTGGTGACATTTAATGATCCTGACAACCTCTGTAGTCACTTCTAGGCAAACTGCCTGTTTCAAGACACATAATAACTTTAAAAAAAAAATCACTGATGTGTTTTATGTTGTAGAATAAAGTGTGAAAATATTTCAAGCTTCCATTAACCTCAGACCTCATTTCAGGCATTTAACCAAAAATCCATTCAAAAAACCCACTGACTACAGGATAATGGAAACGAAAGTGCTTGTTTCTGAGTTTTAAGACTCCTTCCTGCAGCTCTCCACTCAAGCTTCACCTTAACACTCAGCATTTGAAGTTAATGTCACCTGTTACCCATTTCCAAGTGAACAGTGCATTCACTGAGACAAAATGCACCATGGAACTTCATTTTAATAGTGCAAAATGGGGGTGTGGGAGTGGGAGGTGTTGAAAAGTACAAGAATCTGTCACATTTCAAGGACAAAAATTAATTTTATTTATAAAAACATTAGCTGGAAAAAAACTACAAACAGAAGAAAAAAAGCGATCCTTAACCAGAGGTTAACTACAATAACAGTACGTCCACTGTATCTTCTACTGTGTATATCGATGCCTCTCCTCTTTCCTCTGCCTTTCCTCCAGGAAACGCTTCTGTTCCGTGGCTTTATCCATATCCCTTTCCTTCAGAGACTCCGTCACATGCTGCCACAGTCGCCTGCAGGGAGAGGAGTCACATGTTAAAGATGGAGCCTTCGGACAGCTTTCAGTAAATGCCTCTGAATCCACAGATAAGACAGCTATGGTTTTCACTTATAGGAATAGTTCATAAAAAAAAAAAAAAATTACTACATTTCCTCACCCTCATTTTGTTCCAAACCCATACAATTTTCTTTCTCAGTCCTTCACAATATAATGTTTGAAACTATTCGTTTAAATGACTTATTTTCGGAATTAATTGTGTAGTTTAATTAATTGTGTGTACAATCGTGTGGTTTGAATACGATAAAAAAACGTAATTTTTTTTTTTGCATAAACTGATTGGCTGGTGTTACCTAGATTCATAGGGTCCTTGCAGCTCATTGGGCCGTACTCTTTTTCTGGTGACTGGGAGTTTGGTAACGTCTAGGACACGTGTCTCCCCGCTGGTATAGGTAAACTCCAGCACGCCGTTCCACTCACCCTGTACTCGGCACACCACGGAGTTGGTGGGGTTGTGTTTGACCTCCGCATTCACTCTGAGGAACAAAGCACAGGTTTTTGTTACAGTCCACTGGCTCAGCTTTCTGATTAAAGTGCTCATATCATGATCTTTAAAAGTCGACATAAAAATTAAAATTCACCCCATTTATTTTCTAAATGCATGTTGCTGATTCTAAGTCCCCGCCCTACTTTTTTTTTTGTTGATAATCTGTTTTGGATGTACAAGTGATACTGTCACTTGTAGAACTCCTCAACAATCCAAAAAGACTATTTACTGATACTAAGGCTGTCCAAATACTTTTTCAGCCAGTTGCACTTGTCACCTTCATTTGTATAGAATCCCTGATCATTTCAGTCTGATCTTTGCTGGATTGTTTTGTGAACCTGTCACAATGTAATGGAGCAGTGCAAACTAGGACCCCACAGCAAACCCACACTGAAGGCACAGCACCAAAAAAATTGCCAGTTTAATTCTAGGGGTCAAAAAGAAGTTGGGAAATTATTACAGATAAATAAAGTTTGGCTTACATTTTTCTTATTGAATATAGTGTTTGTTCGCTTTTCTAAAATACATATAATCTGGACATTCAAGTCTGGGGTCAGTAAGATTTTTTGTGTATATGTAATATGTCTCTTATGCTCACCTAGGCTGCATTTATTTGTTCAAAAATACAGTAAAAAAAAAAACATAATATTGTGAAATATTGGGACAATTTAAAATGTTTCTTATGTGAATATATTTTAAAAAGTAATTTAATCTTGTGCTGGCAAAGCTGAATTTTTAGCAGCCATTACTCCAGTCTTCAGTGTCACATGATCCTTCAGAAATCATTCTAATGTACTGATTTGGTGCTTAAGAAACATTCTTATTATTATCAGTGTTGAAAAAAGTTGTGCAGCTTAACATTTTTGTGGAAACCAAGATACATTTTTTAGTTCAAGTTCAAAAGAACAGCATTTATTTGAAATGAAAATCTTTTGTAACATTATAACTGTGTTTGCAGTCACTTTTGATCAATTTAATGCATTCTTATAACGGTAGTGTATACTAATTGACAGTTCTTTAGGGCTGCTGTATAAATTTACATTGAAAACACTATACTGAAAATGGAGTCAAGTAATGTGATCCTGACCTGTGCAGCTTGCCCCCATAGAAAGGCTTTGTCTGGAAGGTGATGATTGCAGAGTAGCCTGTCGTGGTGCAGTTGACATTGACCTTTCCTCCCAGTTCCACCCAGGGCACAGTGAGGATAGAGCGGGCATAAGCAGAGGGCAGACTGAAGGTGTATTCTTCACCGTGCTCCAATAGGTGTAGATAACCTGCGATCACAGGAATTAACATTTCTAACGATCAACAGTGGAAATGTTAATGCAAAAGTGGGTGCGAGGCAGGCGAAACTCACCTTCTCCGATCATAGAGACGCCAATGGACATGCCCATGAACTTGCTCTTGGTCCACACATGCGTGTTGACACACATCTGTCTCTCCTGGCATTCTGCATAGAAGCCCGACACAGGTGGATGATGGGAAACCTGCTCAGCCACGAAGCGGACATTGTAGCAGTCTGACGCGCAAGAGGTCCCTTCTTTCGAAACCGCTGTTGGAGGTGTCGTCGCCTTGGGTACTTTCCAAGAGCAGTGGAAGGTCTCTCCGATGATGGGGTTGTAGGGCTTCCTGGCAATGGCACCTTTGCGACCTTCGTGGAAGGAAGTGAGGTAATACTCCACAAATCGGACCATGCGGTCCATTGGGCTGGAGCCATCAGTGATTGCGACAAAAAGGTCCGGATGGGACATGAAGTCTGCATACATTTCCAACAGGGAGCGCTTCTCCAGAATGAAAGTAGGCAGGACCACCTACACGCCCATGTGAAACACTATATTAATTCATAATTAATCAATTGTACACTGAAAAATAAAATTGATGAAAGCATTAAAAACCATAGAACAAAGATTTCAGTATTTCTACTTCAAAATTTCATGTTCAATGCACTACTTGACATTTCTTTTTTAATTATTTGTGAAATTTATCAGCAATTTCCGAGTAAAAATTTTTTAAAGTAATTTTTTTTAGTGTATAACAGAATTAATTCAAAATGGTATAACTGGATGAAATGAGAGCCATTAATGAGATGGAGCTGATATACCCTGGTGAGGTCCATGCCCAGTTTGAGCTGAGAGAGGAGGTGCAGAATGATGCTGCGCTCCTCTTCGACAGCACCCAGTTCCTCCTCCTCGGCCGGAGCTGAATCATCTACCTCTTGTGTGGCATCAATCTCCTCCTGCTCCTGAAACCCACACCAAACTCCATGATTGCATCCTACTCGACCAGTAAAATCATATAACCACAAGGACAAAACTAGCTTTTTTTTGGAGCCCCCAAAATTTTCCACATCTTTTGACCAATGACCATTTAATAACTTTATTACATTCGTTTTTTTGTTTTTTTTGTTACATTTTATAGAGGCAGAGGCTTAATTATACAGTGGGGAAAAAAGCCAAAAAAGAAATAAAAAAACAGTGTTGTTATTGTTAACTATATAACTATTAAAAATAATTTCCAATTAAAATAAAGCCCAAATAAAATAAAATATAAATAATAAATGATAAACTAATAAAGAAAGTTTGCCTTGGCTACTAACTGAAATAAAAATAAATGAAAGTGGTGTAGAAATATTTTTAAAAATGACCAAAACGCATAACATAAATTACTAAAATGTTAAATAAAATTTAAATTACAACAGAAAATATAATAGAATAAAAAGCTAATGGCTGATTAAACATTTTATAATATTATAAAATAATATTTTCTATAGAAAATGTACATAATTTAAGATTGTAATGACTTCCATAACTTTCCAGGCCTGAAAATCATCATTTTAAAATTCCAAGGTATTATTACTAGGTGTTCCATGAACCATTTCTCGATGATATTCTATATCGTAGCTTGCCTCAACAAACACCACTAATGACACCTGCCAAAAACAGCTTTACATAATGTAGAATATTTATAGATTTTTCTGTATATGATTGTTTTTGCAATGTAAATCTATCTGTTATGCTGCCTGAAATGATGGATGATACAGTTATGTGAAGCAAAATATTATGCAAGAATATTCAGGGGAAAAAAAAAAACATACAGCATAGTAAACATTTAACACCACAGACAAGTTTACTTAGGTTAATAGGGAGCCCTGTCAACAGTCCAACATTCGGGAAGGCTCAGGTGTTTGTTTACGTGAAGGTAACTGAAGCAAAGGATTACTCTTGAGATTCACACCAGCATCTGCTATGAATACAATCATCAATGGTTGTGTTGCCGTGTCAAAATACAGAGGCAAAACATATATGGATACTTTAGACATTCAAAATGCATGAATGTCATTCATTTTATAACAAAATATCAAACCACATTTTTGTTTTGTTTTTTATTGTAAACAAAGATAGCACACTTTAAGTCAAATAATTAAAAAAGAAGGTATTAAAATAGATCTTCTGTTGAAGACAAAGCACATGTTTCTTCAGAAATCATTCTAATTTGTGGATTTGCAGCTAAAGAAAGAATTCTTCTTATTATCCTCAATGTTGAAAAAGTTTTGTTGCTTTTCAGGCTTGTTTGATTAATTGAAATTTCAAATGAACAGCATTTTAAATCGTACTGTAACAGAACATACTGTTACAGCACTGACTCAACCAATGGTGTGAGACCAGGGCGGCAATTTTTTGTGGCCTGACCAAAGGCAGACAAGCTTTAAGGCAGTGAACTACACCTGTAATTATGCTACTAGGACACTTGTTTGAACTTGAGGAGAACTGACTTGGAACCAGCTGTTTAGATCACTATAACCTATATTATACATATATATAGTATAACCTATATTATACTATACTATAACCACAAAAAACACTAGCGCCGTTAGGTCTGAGAAAAGCATCTTTCAAATGAACAGCATTTTAAATCGTACTGTAACAGAACATAGTGTTACAGCACTGACTCAACCAATGGTGTGAGACCAGGGAGGCAATTTTTTGTGGCCTGACCAATGGCAGACAAGCTTTAAGGCAGTGAACTACACCTGTAATTATGCTACTAGGACACTTGTTTGAACTTGAGGAGAACTGACTTGGAACCAGCTGTTTAGATCACTATAACCTATATTATACATATATATAGTATAACCTATATTATACTATACTATAACCACAAAAAACACTAGCGCCGTTAGGTCCGAGAAAAGCATCATTTGTTTGCAGATGCCACATGATTTGATAATGTATATAATGCAAAGATATTCACACATACTTAAGTGCATTCAAATACTTTTTTGAGACATTTAGGCATGGTTTCACAGACAGGGCTTAGGTTAAGCCAGGATTAGGCCACAGTTCAATTAGGACATTTAAGTATATTTTATAAATGTGCCTTAGGAAAAATATTACTGGTGTGGATCTTGAGACCAAACAGTTGCACTGACATATTTTAAGGTATGTCAGTGTAAGTTTTTTTCAGTTAAAACAGCCCAGACATGCATTTTAGTCTGCAACTAGGCTTAAGCCTTGTCTGTGAAACCGGGGATAAATTATTATAAACATAATTAAAAACATGTCTAATCTAAGACAAGCTCAGATCCTCAGAAATTTCCCACACTTTATTGGACAACCATTTGTCAGTGACCAAGACTCACACTTTTTGACCATTGACTTTTCAAGTCATGTGTAATCATTCAATAAGGACTTTTAAAGATTATTCAAACTCAGATTTGTTTGCTCAGCATGGTTTCTTTGCAAATCATTTAGACCCATAAAATGATTGACTGATAACACAGTTTGCAAGAATGATAAAAAAAAGTTTAGACACAAATCTTACCCTAGCAATATCACAGGAGTCCATTTCTAAAGGTTCCAGAACGGTTCCCTCTGTTTTACCATCATCTTTGGTGATGCTGGGTAGCGTGCCTCCATTCTTCAGGATGTCAGGAAGTTTTGGTTCCAGCCACTCGAGGACAGGGCCTACAGGGCACACAAAACGTGGCTCAGAGGTGCTCATATCACCGGCCCACCAGCACGATGCCCACAACCCAACAGCAGCTTCTAATGCCACAGGAATTCTGGGTGTTTAGCACTCTGACAACTGACACAGAGCTCTCAGTGGAAACCTGAGCCCAGGGTCTCACAGTCTGCACGGAGCCCTGCCCATTGTTGACTTGTTTGCTTATTGGCTCGGAGACTAATCTGGAGGTTTTTGTTTTGTTCCAGTCGTTAGGAAGTTCACAAGCTGGATCACTACTTTTTACAGTAGAAATGCAGGTGATCCTGGAACTGTGGGATGTTTACATGTTGGTTCTTTCCAGTCAGAGAGTAATAAAATATGTATGCTTCATGAATGGGTTGCATTAAAGTCGCTTGACAACTAGAAGGCTTCAGTTTTGCAAAACACCAAGGGTTTTTGGGCCAGAAGAGTCCCCAAACATGCAAATCTGACAGGAGACATTTTCATCCAAGAACTGACAGCGGTATGGTAACACAATTCGGTAAGTCTGTCAAGCGCTGCGCTTGAGTGACGCCAACAGAGCTCTGGTTACCTGCAGAAGTCTATCAGTGGTGGATACAGTTCCTCATTAATTATAAAACAATATTCCACTCCCTGAGCAGGGCTCTAGGTCAGAAATTCTACAGGCACAAACATGACCCGAGATTATAAGATTTGTGACCACAAACTCTTGTGGTTTTTCTATAATTAACTACCATTTTTCTGTTCAGCTATTGGTTATCTTGGTACACCCAGACACTGTGACGTGAGCAGAAAGACTTGTGAAGTTGTATATTTTGATCGTATTGCATTGACCTGGATTACACATAAGGATCAGTGAGTCGCAGTGAATATGTGATTTAAGGTATTCAATAACTGTCTGATAGCAGATTTGCTGAAAGAGAGTATGGGGGTCTGTAACTCTAAAAGAGTCTACATTTTTAATTTTTGGATTGCATTTCAGCAACTAATAGATGAGTGTTACACAAATTCTACACTATGATGGTATTCAACAAAAAGGGATTTTACTTGCTCCTTTTTTTTTTTTTACTTAAATCATGACATTGCTTCTGTACTTTCAAACATTTTGATGCTAAAAAGATGAATACATTTAAATACATGACTAGTAAGTAATAGACTGTTATATCAACAAAGACAGTGTTTCCTAAAAGCACCGTAAGCCTATGGCACCAATGGGCTCTATGATCTTGACGTTTTTGAGGAATGTAGTCATAAACAATTAATCAGTGAATATTTATGTGATAACTGGCCGATAAAACTGGGTAAAATCAACAGTACTGCAAAGTGAAACTGCACATTTTCTGTAGTTTAATTTGTTAGTAATAAATTATACAATATCAGCATTCTAACAGCCACCCTGCTCTCCAGACAGCGATATATCACACCAATGTTTGTTTACACATCAACAATGCTTATTTGGTATTCAGAAACTTGGCAGAATCCAGTCATTGAAAGGCAAATAAAGAGGTCAGACAGATACAGTAATATTATTCCTAAATGCCAAAAAACTTACAATAAGAGTAAATATAAAAACAATTAAAAAAAAAAGTACGTGTGCTAAATATGGGAAAGTGTGCTAAACCTTGTGCTGTTTCTGACTGTGTGCAGCACCAGCAGCTCTGCATATCCTTCCAAAATACCTAATATTAAACACAAGTGCCTGCAGTCGTTTCACAATGTAATTTAGGCTTTACAAAGTGTTTGTTATTGAAGGATGGGAGAGTTGCACTACAATGGAAAAGTCCTGCAGCTTGTGAGTAATGCCTCCCATTTCTCTAATGTAACTGCATCGTCAGTGAACTAAAGCACTGCATCTCTTTTCAAATGTGAAGATGATGTTTACATAAAGTCTTAAAGGCACAGCAAAAAAGAGCCCATTTAATCCTAAAGGAGAGGGTGGAAAATGGTCATGTAAAGCTAAATTATGACTGTTAAAAACACTTACTAATCTAATATAAGCAGACCTTAATGTATGCCTCAAAAAAAAAAAATGCTGCCAGTTTTGTGCTAAAATCTTGACCAAGAAAAGCAGAGAGGAATACAAGAAAAGTCTCTTGCTGTATGTCACATAGGAGCAGCACCGATCAATAATTTCTGTGATGGAAGCTGTGCTTATAAATAACCCTCTTGCTGTCTTTTACTGGAAGAGAAATGCTTTCACTTAACATCTAGTACTGCAGTAGCATGAGAAAAAGTATAAAGCAAAGTCAGGTCTAATATTAGAAGAGCCAGACAGAGGAAAAACTGCCAGATGTCTAGCATTATGAACCTCATGTCACATTTTTATCATTTTTTCAAAATATTTGTCATCATTTTTCCCTGATGTCCATTCAGTCACAGTTTAGCTTTTCCATTATTCAATTTCCCCTGGGCATGTACACAAGTAATGCATTTGTGACGTGGAAATGAAGAGATATAAACACATCTACTGCTACAGTCAACAAAATGAAGAAAACCATAAGGATCAACACACAGATATAAAAAAAAAAACACTCACCACCAAGAGGAGCTTTCTGCCGAGCCACTTGTTGGAGCTGCAGGATATGCAGGCAGTCGCTGAGGCAGGTCATGGTAGCCAAAGAGGTGGCTTTCAGCAGCAGCAAGTCTTGGTCCAAGGGAGAGGGTCCCTGGGAGGAGGGCAGACCCTCAATACTCTGGATCAGGTCTCTGTGCTGGCCCTGCGCCTGGCTCATCATCTAGAGGAGGAGTATTTGTTGGTTAATGAATGTCCTACACCTCAAAACTTCAGATCAGATGCTTGTGAAGTTCCAAAGAGACTGTGCAATTGGGCCTTTAAAAGCATCACTCAGTCTCACCTCTCTGGCCTCCAGCAAGTGATCAGGCATCAGCAACTTTCTGCTGGAGTAAAGAGATGAGCTGCGCTGCAGCTGGGACAGGCCCAACAGGGCGTTTGAGTTCTGGTTGACCCTGTGCTGAGATCCTGGAGAGCTGCCACTGCCCTGAGACGCCATGGAGAGACTGCGAGTCTGAAGTGGTGGGTTTGTCTGTGGGATTACGGATAACTGTTGAAAGAATTAGATCACCCAGAAATGACAATTTCATCATCATTTACCGCATTTTGATCCAAATCTGTATTTCCAAGGAACACTAAAGGAGAGATTTTAATGCTAGAAAGCTGGTGATGATTTTGACATTGAAGCTACATGAAGGTCAAATAAAAGTAGTCATTATAATTTATGCGCTATAATCAAAGTCTTCTGAGGTTTTGTGTGAGAAGCTGACCCGAAATATAACTCATTACTGACTGATTATCGTTCCCTGAGCTGCATCTCATGCAGTCACATAAAGTCAAATATGCTGTGCAAAGTCACATCATACCAGTTTGCTTGTTTGATTTTTAACACCATTTCAGTTTCTTTGGCTATCAACATAGCAAAAACCATACTTGCTAGCAAAATACCAGACTTGATGTCAATGATGCCAAATGGCATTGGTTCTCGAAAGAACGTTGGTTAAATTGATCAGTTTTGAATGATATGATGGTGAATAAATGATGACAAAATTTTAAACTCTGAATTATCTATTTGTAATTTAACAGACTGTCTGTCTCTTCCTGTAACTTAAGTCACTGAGCAGTACGGTTTAGTTAATAGTATTACAGGAGTCTGGATGTAAGTCTCACTTTGCTTAGCGCCTCCGTGTGGTGCTGCGCACAGATCTGCAGTCGGCTGACCCAGTGCTGTCGCTCCTTTGCATCTGAGGCTGAAGTTACGCAAACAGGTAATGAAAAATATTTAAATATAAATGATAATATTGGGATAATAATAATAATATTATTTCAGATTTTTTTATATGGGATATGCGATATGGTTAAGAGAGCAGAATATAAATAAAAGGAAGTGAAACCATCTAAGATTGAAAAAAGTAGCAAAAAAGAAAGAGTGAAAGAGATCATGTGACAACCTCTAAGTTTGTATTGCTCTCCGCTGATGGCATTGACAGTGAACGTGTGTGAATCTTCATCGCTGGGGGAAATCACCGCACCAGCTAATGGCAGCGAGCCCCTGGGCTTCTGATTCCTGGACTGCTCATTCACAAAATATTCCAGCAGTCCTGCCTCATTGTTGAGCACAAAATATCTATAATAAAGAAAACATAACAGTTTAGGAGTTCATGAAATATTTTAGGTCTAAAGTATCTATTATTTGATATGAACAGGACCAAATGGAATCTGTGCTGATGACGGGGAAAATCTTTAAAATTCTGCAAGTAAAATGCAATACTCACCGATACTGCCATCCAGTCACAAGATTGGTGTACTTCATCAAATACCCATCCACCTTTTCCATCAGATCACTTCAGTTGATAAAAAGAAAAACATCATGTTGTCAAAGACAAAGTACTAGTGTGTGCAAGATATTCATACCATTACCTAAAAAAATTATACCACCAAACATTGTATAATATACACAACCATTCGCAGGATTCTGGGAGATCAATAACTATTTAACTGTACCAGATAATGGTCTATCGTGTATATGTATATATAATGAAAGTGAAAAGAGTATTGAGGCTGTCATTCTGCCTAAAATCTCATTTTGAGATGAATGGAAGAAAGAAAATCATACGGGTTGGGACGACATGACAGAAATATCAGTATCATGCGTTTACTCCGGAAATGGGATATTATACAACCTCACCTTCGAATTAAAAAGTAGCTTTTGCGGTTTAATATCGAGCAGTTAACATGTTTCATAATTAAATACTGCTTGTTTGTAAAGGAGATATTATTGTGTGAAGTACCTGTATTGCCAGGATTTGGAGCCCGTCCTGCAGGAACTCTGTGAGCCGCCGTGATGCTCCAGCACGGCTTCAGTCTGCATGATCGGATCCTTCCTATGATATACAACTCCGCTATCACTTCACCTGCCGCACAAAACACCGACCAGCCGAGTTCATATGGCGGACCTAAAGTCAGAATGATTTGTTATGGCCACTGGTTTAATGCTCTGAACTACAGAACCTCTGGCATGTTTATGTCTCGTGCAGCCATGACAGAGCGTGAAGTCATTCGCGACCCGCATCATGTGACAGGAGGTAGTCTAAAACATTCATTAAACCGCACAAACAGAATTATTAGGTTATATTTATTTTATGCATAGCATATTGATCATATCAATATAGTTTTCTAGAATGACATTTTTAGTGTTATTTTACTTCCGAACCGCCACATAATCCACCTTTCAAATTAAAAGTCTTAGGTGGCGACCAGACGGAAGCACGCTAGCTGAGCTCTCGTTTTGATTGGCCAGATGACATTCAAAGTCAATTTATGGTGAAATGTCGATTACTATATAACAAACATTTTTTTATTTTATTTATTTATTTACCTGTATTATTATTTATATTATGCTGTATATTTTCTATTTCTTTGTTGTAGTTTATATTTGTTCAGTACCTTTATGTTATATGTTGGAAACCAATAAAAAAATAATAATTATATATATATATATATATAAAACAAACATTCAAATTACAAAGTACAAATATTCCATGTAGTTTCTCAATTCTAAAAATATATGCATGATAATCATAAAAGAATAAGTAAAATGCACATGGCACACTGTAGAACAAGTCGTCTTCTCATATGCATATACAAATTTTGAAAACTTACCATTTTTTTATTGTCAGCAAACCTAAAACAAATACGGTGTATTTTTTTTTTTTGTAACTCTGTTTAACTTTTGGCATCGAGATAATGGCCTTTTTTTCTTTTCTTTTTATTTTATAATCATAATTATGTCTTGGATTTTATCACTTTCAAATGTTGACTTAAAGGTACAATAAAAAAAACATTTCTGTCATAATTAATTTTATTGGGAAAATAAACAACTGTTAACAATGTAAATCATGTCTCAACAGGAGGACTGTTAACATCTCTTTTAATTGAGTATTATTAAAAGAGAGCACTAATGTACCATATACAATACAAAACATGGGAAAAAAATAATGAGAGATTATGTGGTAGATTTTTAGTTCTGCATAGACTTGTTTTTGGTCTTACAACAGTCTCATGGCTTGGCATTTTCAATTCATTTCTGTTTATCTTCATACTGGCTAACAGGTTGTTATTCTCTTCTATGGTCATTTATAAGCATTTTTTACTTGTTGTAGAATCCAATGTTTATCAAAAGACAATGGTTTGTCTGATTCCACACATTATTATTATTATTATATTTTTCCAACCAAAACATTTAGAAATTATTTATTAAATTAATTAGTAGATAAATAAAATAAGTCAAATAAAGAAAACGGCATACAAAGACATACCTAATGAAATGTATGGTCTTGAGTACAAGTAGAGTCTACGTTTGAACATTGGGACATAGTAAAATCAAAAAAGAACATAACACATTTCTTCTGTTAAACTGACAATTTCATTAGAATGTAAAACATTCTGTAGTTTTCCAGGATGATCTCAATTGAAATGGTGCAAGACTCACTTACAGAAACTCAAACATAAGTATTGTTACAATTTACAAAATAATTACTATTTATGCAGCAATAATACAAATGAATTATGAACATGTCCTATTTTGATATATAACTGTAACACAGTCCTTTAAGCCAAATGAAATGTAAATAACAGAAAAAGCATAATTAAATCAAATAACTTGTTTGTAAATGTTCCAATGCTACTAAGCCTCAATGCTCGCAGTGATTACAATTTTCAAGAAAAGGGTCTCCTATATGAGCATAGCACAAAGGCTTGCTTTCAATCTAAGAAAATTATGGTCAGACATACTGTTAAAACTATATGCTCATACTGTCCTTGAGTGAATACCATGAAAGGAAAGGCATTTCAGTTGAGGTTTGATTGAGAGTACAAAACTCCTTCAGTTACATTGAGCCCCTAAACTGTAAGGCTCAGTCAGACCAACATTTCAGAACATAAACTACAACTATACATACAGTAAATATGAATTAATACCATAATCCCACCATATTTTAGAGTTTCACTATGAAATCTGGAATCTCATTTGCTCCATATTTCACACAATTAATCTCTTCATCGACATTGCAGAGATCAGTATTACACCAGAAACATGTATATATTTATACAACATATTCCATATGCAAAGGCTCTAAAATAGTGTTGTATTTAAAGCTGCCATTTTTGTCTCTCAGCACTGTCAAAACTCGATTAACACTGTCCTAAAATGAAAGCATTGTATTACCTAACAAAAAGAAGTCAAATATTATAATAAAACGTTTCATAATGGCAAAAGGTTCAAATCGTATGAACTATTTAATCTTGTAACTAAATACACTGATTCACAACAGCATCCTCAATAAATATGATAAGATAAAAAAGAACAAGATACCAGATAATTACATAAAAGACAACTTCATTAGTCCTCTAACACCTAAACAGTAACAATCTAGTCTCTAAACTATCACATATACAGTGCAACGCCTCGGTATTTGTTCCCAGTTTCATTTTTAAAATAATGGCTACATTTTGAATGCATTAACAAAGCAAGTTACAATGTGACTGCATTAGGAAAATAATCAACACCTGCTTTCATGTACGTGCACAGTCACTCAGCCCACATTTTAAAAAGTAAAAGTTTTGTAATGGAATATCTGTGTTAGATATTGTTTAAAAAAAAAAAGGGTCAGTTAAAAGAGCCTACTAATGGCACCTTGCTACTGTAGTGAATTGACACCATGACAAATTTTATATTAGCATTTAAAAAAAAAAGATGCATACTTCTCAGTGAAGGCAAACTAATGAACACGCTAATGTCATCTGATCTCATAAAAAGGTCTATAAAAAGCACTTTCCTCAAGGGCTTTTAGTGAGTTGATTGTTATAAGACAACAAAGTCTATAAAGATCTGCAGCCTTGGTAGGACAGCCCTTTAGGACCAAAATCTGGCAACACATTTTAAGGTAAACAGAATCAGTACAGTATGTTTGTGTCAAATAACTCACTGCAATAAAACTAAATCGCACATGTACAACGAGGTCCACAAGTCTGAGACCACTAATGAAAATGCAGTATTTTGCAGTATTTAATTTAGTACAAAATGTATTACAAATTATATAATATCAACATTACATAATTTGTGTGAAAATTTCAATTACAAATGAAAATACATTTCTGAATTTCTTAGTATTTGGTTCGACATCCGATCCAGCACTCAAGCCAGGGTTATAATAGTTAACTAAAATCATAAAGAAAACCTTTGTTACTTGAAATAAAATAAAGCAGAAAGGTATTTATTTCAGTTAGTTGCCAAGGCAACATTTCTCATTTTTCATTTATTTAAACTTAGTTTAATAAAAAAAAAAAAAAACTGAAAATTACTAAAAACAACACAGACATTTAAAAATAATTTTAAAAATAAATAAAAATGACAAATTCACAGCAAAATGACAAAAACTTTCAAATTAAAATTAAAACAAAATACTAAAATAAAAACTAATTGTGTAAACTTATGTTCTCCAGCATGATTTGAGAACGATACAAAGAGCATCTTGTGCTTCAACGGAAGCAAGAGCATCTGACTGTCAGTACAAAGAGAAACATGATCAATGTCAACTTTGGATTAGAGACCTAGACATTTTTTTCTTCATTTACATAATATTTTTCCTTTTTTCCTTTTATCTCAAAATCCCAAAGTGTTCTATTTACCTGTAAATTTAAACAAATCCCAGATCTTCAATGTAATCCCAGATTTCTGGACCCAACTGTACATTAATAAATTCAATGATTAAATCCTTTCTGAAGTATTTATCTTGTACAACAGCAACATTAAAATTTCTGAAAAAACAATTCAAATTCAGCACTTGTACGGACCTTAACAGAGATCTCTCCTGCACTTCTCCATGCAAAATCACAAGCATCGTCAGTCACATGACCTGATATACGCTGATCAAAACATTGCCAGCAAGTTAATTTCATGAAACAACAGAGAAGCACCATGAGCAGAACACCAGAGAGAATATCTCTCATCATTCTGAACCAGATGCCTATTTCAAGTCCCAAAATGCTACAGGTCCATCAGAGAGACAAAAAGGACATTAATTAGCACCTGCATAACCATAACTTGCATGACTATGGCTTCACATAGGATCTACAGCTCGCTGGCACCTGACAGCCAGGCAAGGAGGAGTGCAATCAATGGCTTTTCAATCCCATCTACAGTCCACACCTCCACATAGAGAGCAGAGTTATCAGATCACAGGCTACACTACGAAAGTGACCGCTGTTTTGCTGTCCACAGCAGCTAAATCTCAAGGGAAGCCTGTAGCATATCAAGGCATCCATATTCACCCAATCAACTGGGAACAAATTCAGTCCCTGCCACAGAGGAGGAAGCCGATCAGCAGTGGAGTAAGAGTTAACAGGAGCTGCCATAAGTTCACCACCAAACAAGAAGATCTGGAACAAGGATCTGAGAGAAGAAAAGAATTATTATGAATTATTCATTAATTATTTTTTTGTAAACAAACATATTTTACTTTATTTGAACCTTGTTATGTACCTGGCTTGCCTTATGTATATGGAAAACTTTTTTTTCTTGCTACATCTTACACATTCAATGTTTATAAACTTTATTTCAGACAGACAAAATTGGTGGCTTTTTTTCCGAGTTGACAGCTTCACAAATTTTTTAAAATACTAATATTTGAATCAATTTTAATATATTTAAATTTCAATATTTTAAATGTAATACATTTATTCTTTTTTTTTTTTACTTTTTACAGAAATTTTTTATGCATCTTGTAGGATTTTTTAAATACATTTTATAATCGCTTTTAATTGCCATTGTGTTTGAAATTTGCAATATAAATAAACTTGCCTTGCCAATTAATAATACTTATTTTTATTTAATATGAATTTTCATTTATCAATGTTTATTCATTTACTACATTATTCATACATATTTGATATGCATTATAAATAATAATAAATATTTAATATGTATAAAGTAAATTTTAATGTAAAAATTTTATATATATATATATATATATATATATATATATATATATATATAAAATTTACTGTATTAACAGTAACACCAAAAACCAACCACTCATGGTATAGTCTTACAGCCATAAACGTGGTGATGCGTGTCAGACAGTAACTCACCTAAGCGGGCACTCTTGGTGGTGTTTAGAGGGGGGATCTCATGAGGGAGGGGGCAGTCGCTGCAGAAGTCAGAGCAGGTTGGGCAGATGAGCTGGCCACTGTAGACCCATCCATTCATACGTATGCTCACACTGATCAGCTGACCAGTACGAACACATGGATAGGAATCATTCTGCACCCAGACCAACAACCCTTGTGCTGTACAAGACACCTGCAACACAAATCACAGTTTCAGTACACATAAATCACAATTTTTCTATGTTGTGGTGGTACATAATAGACACACTTCGGAAGCAACTGTCCCATCTCTCATGAGATCTACCATTACATTATTACCTTATAGCAACCACTGCCCCAGTCTGGGTAGGTCATTCTTTTGGTGCACTGCTCCATTACAAATGGTGACTTTTGGTAGAGGCACACTGATCCTGGGCCATACTGTTCCGCACCATAGTTTCTCCATGTGGCTAAAAAAGCAAAATCCCAAAAGTCTTGTGTTGTGGAATAGTAGAAGAGTTTACATGGAAAAAATACTGACAGGCACAAGAGGGAATAAGCAAACTCCTTCCATTCTGCTTCTAAATGAAGAAAGGATGTGAGTGAATGGCATCTCACCTGGCTGGTTCTCCTGTATTCCACAGTAAGAGCTGCGCTGGTATTCCCCACCCACATGCCAACTAAACTCCTGGCTAAAAGGACAGTAGTCTGCGATCTTGACAGCCCCTCCGTATGCTGGCAAATCTTCCTCAGGGACACCAGGAATATGGTCAAAGTACTACAGGATGGAGAGGGTTTATTACATTCAAAATGATTTAATTAACCTTCTATAAAGGCAGTCATCTTGTATTTATCTGTAAACAACAAATCAAATTTATTTGTATAGTGCTTTTCAAAATACAGTGTTTCAAAGAAGAAAATCATGATGTTAATGTTCAATCTTAATGTGGTAACTGCAGATTTAGGATTGAGTGAAAATGCAATTCTGCTGATCTTACCTGATACTCTACAGGAAGCGCATGAGGAAACTTCTGCAGGTTGCACACAGCCACTGCCAGCTGGTCCTGCCTGCAGGTGAGCTGCAGAGGTGCACTCCTCACAGAATCACAGTATGGGCTCAGGGTTGGCCTCCTGTTTCAAACACACAAGGTAAACACTCATTAAGAACAGATGTCCAATCAATGACCCAAATCTTTACCAATATGCTGTACGTATATATTTAAGACTATGAAACTGCAATTTCTCTAGAAAAGATACAACAAGATACTGGAATCAATCTGAAATAAAGAACTGCTACAAATGTACAACACACAATCTAATTTGTTTCTGTAGCACTAGCAACATAAGTCTGATTCCCAGGGAAAACTGATTAAATCTATAGTTTTTATGCAATTGTATAACATTTTGGTAAAAGCATCTGCCAAAATGCATAAAAGTACGTTGTCCACTTAATACAAAAAAAACAACAACAATAGATTTATTTGTGAGTGTACACAAAGTTGAATGTATCTCATGTATCAAAGCTTACGTATGGCGATGTTGGTCTATCCAGAATTTACAGCTTTTCATCACAAAGTCACAACCCAAAAATCTTCCCCACTCCAGGTTCTCCGCCATACTATAATTAGCCCTGTACCACCTTAAAACAGAAAACAGCACAGAGAGGAGCCAATCATAATACAGTCTTACTGTTGAGAATTCTCATGGATCACATGACATAGCCGGTGATGGGAGGAGCTAGGTCTCCACAGGTGCACTGAATGATTGATTGGCTTCTTTTGTTTGGGGTGTGTGTTGCTGTGTTTAAAATGCCATAATATCATACTACTCTTACTATTTCTGCAGTATCCAGTATGTACATTGTGCATATTATGCAAATTTTCTGTATGCATGGAATACACGGATGACCTACTATATCTGCTAAATATAACTCAAGTACACTGAAATCAGTACAGAAGCTGTGTTTGGAATGGCATACTACCATACAACTCCTACTATATTGCAGTATGCATTGCATATGTATACTGTGAATAGTATGTGAATTTTCTGTATGCATGGAATTCCCAGATTACCTGCTACATTTGATGTATGCATCTGAGGATCACTGCATGGGATACTGTTTCCCACAATGCAACGCGCTCCACGTGACATTTCATCTTCAAATGCATGAGTGAACTGGAGGCGGGGGATAGTAATTATAAATGTAACACTTGTATATGTACGATATTAAATAATAATAATAATATTGCAGTAATATAATATATAAAGAACATATAATATAAAAATAAAAATTATATTGAAATTATGCAAGCAGAATTCAATTCCGCTGTAAAGCAGCTCTAAAAACAAACGGACTGTCCCTAAGTGCAAGTAGCCCAATTTGTTGGCAGAGGCAACTGTTTAAGTTGTTTAAGAATCAGTGGCATAGCGAGTAAAATGCGAAGTAATTGACGCGACTGACCCGTGTTCTAATCCGCTTTTTGCCAAACTCGTTCTTCCCCTTTTCCCATCACATATCAGATCGGAAAGGCATTTATTTTCAATAAAAATAAAGGAAATATTTGAAAAGTGGAAATAAAACACCTCATTAATAATAGAGTGTTATTGGGTATGGTTCGAGATAGGTGTAGGGAGGGCTTTATTGTCCCAATAAGGCGGCATCCATTTAATAATATTAATAAATATGATAATTTACGCTCAATATGTTATTACATATTGTTTTATAATGTACTACAGTATTGAAGTATAAATATCTGCCACCTAACTACTATTTACACAGCCTATTGCTAAAGAAAATACTGCTATTTTAGTGTAAACAAAATGTATGATTATTTGCACTTAGTGTAAATAGAATATATAGTTTTTTCCACTTAATGTAACTGTCAAAAAGAAAATAATTTGGCCTATCATTGTTCAGTTAAAGACAGCTCAGTGTTGATTCAGTTCTGTTCAATATGTAAAGTTAATTAATTATGAAATGAGTTCAATTGGGCAATATTGCATTGTTTACTAGAATGAACCCTTATTAACAAGTCTTTGTAAAAAGAACGGTTAGCACATTTATTTTTAAGGTAACAGCCTCGACAGCTGAGCTGAATCAATGTTCAGTGTTTGTCATTTGACAACACTGTAGCTTAGAA